AGGCACGTGCCACCATGCCCAGCTAATGTTTTGTAGTTTTAGTAGAGACGGGGTTTCACCATGTTGACCAGGATGGTCTCGATCTCTTGACCTCGTGATCCACCCGCCTCGGGCTCCCAAAGTGCTGGGATTACAGGTGTGAAACACCGCGCCCGGCCCTACCTGCCCATCCTGATAGCAGATAGCGGGCAGCCGGTGCTGAGCAGCACAGGTACATTGACCATCCAAGTGTGCAGCTGTGATGCCGACGGCCACGTCATGTCCTGCAGCCCAGAGGCCTACATGCTCCTAGTCAGTTTGAGCCGGGGCGCCCTCATTGCCATCCTGGCCTGCATCTTTGTCCTCTTGAGTAAGGAGCTGCTTTCCCTTCTGTGGAGTTCTGCCAGTGCCTGCTCAGACATCCGTTCATTACCATCCTGACACAGCTATTCAGAACTGGTGTTCCACATCCTGCTTACTGAAAAGGCGGTACAGTGAGGCTCAGACGTGCGCCGTGAACAGCACTGTCCACAGCTACGTGCTGACCAAGCTCTACGAGGCCGACATGAACCTGTGGGCGCCGCCCTTCGATTCCCTTCAGACGTACATGTTCGAGGGGGACGGCTCTGTGGCGGGGTCGCTGAGCTCCCTGCAGTCGGCCACGTCGGACTCCCAGGCATTATTGTTATACATTTGCCATAGCTATGTTGGAGAAAATATCAGCTATCATGTGTCAATGCTCTCTACATGCCAGGCACTGTCCTAAATTCTTTACAGGTGTTAGCTTAGTTAGCCCTGCTAAGTGGGCAGTAAGATACATGACTGGAGTTGAAAGAGGGCAAGGCTAGGAGCCATCGTGTTTTTAAAGCCATGGAACTGATTAGATCACCCAAGAGAATATATCCAGACGAGAGAAGAGCTGGTTCAAGGCCTGAGCCAGGGCACACCTCACCTTTTGGCAGAACAGAGGGGATGGATCCAAAAAAGGAAAGAAGGAGCCAGTGAGGCGGGTGGGAAATCAGGAGCATTTGAAGTCGCAGAAGTAAAACTAGGGCCAAAACACGTAGAGGGAGCCATCAGGATGAGGAAGAAGAGAGCTACGTAGTCGCACTCTCTCTAGGGCAGAGAGGCAGACACCTGACAGCTGCTTTGCACAACCCGACCGTCGCCAGCGACCTTGCGGAGAGCCACGGCAGAGGCTGGGCGTGCAGGAAAGTTCCATCAGAGCCACCTGAAGAGAAGGGGATGGGAAGAGAGAGTCCGCAGAGAACGTAGGCAACTTTTAGCAAGAATTCTGATGCTAATAGAAGCGGGCTGCAGCTGGCGGGAATGCGCGGTCCCGAGAGGGCTCCAGCTGGCTTTCAAAGTGGCTGTTTCTGCATCATGTTTGCGGGTGGCAACTGTGAGGGGGAATTGCAGGTGAGCACAAAACGGGAGCGGGGGGCCACGTCCGCAAACAGGCCGGGCGGCCTGGGGCTGGAGCTCAGGAGGCCTGACCCTGTCTCTTCCACTTTCCCGCAAACCTTTGGTTGCCAACCGCAGACGCTCACCACAGAAGCGACCCAGCCACGACGCCACGACTCCGGCGAGGATGCACAACACGCGCGGGCGACTCGGGTCGGGGAACCACGGTTCCCGGCAGGCGTTGCGCAGGGCACCTAGTGCGCAGGCGCACGCCGCGGGCCCCCGCCTCTCCCCTCCCTCGGGGGGCCCGGGCCCCATTTCCGGGCTAGAGCCGCCGCCGCCGAGAGGCACCGTTTCCTCTTAAAAGAGAAACGACGGCTGCGCTCGCGAGGTGGGCCCCTGTCTTCCCGCAGCTCCGGGCCTGTTCGCTAGGCCCGGGAGGCGCAGGCGCAGGCGCAGTCGGGGTGAGGGCGCGCGGGGGCGCACAGGTAAGGCTGGGTGGGGGTGGGTCGCCACGGGGACTGTGGGCAGCCTGGGGAGCTGCCACTGGGATCGGTCCGCCCCACTCACTGTCAGCGTTAAGTGGGGGCGCCCTCCAGACCTCTGACCCCTGCCCCACCTCCCGTCAACCCAACTAAGAGCGCCCCCAGCTGCACCCCAGGACACGACCTTTCCTTCCCTGTAAACCAGTGAAGGCCGCCGCCCTCTTCAAGATGACATGTGTGGACCCCCAGCCCAGTTGAAATTTCCCGTGGGAGCCTGTGGCCGCTTCCCCACAGCTCCATTTCAGGGGGCTGCAGGGCGAAGGCCTTTGTTCTGCCCACGTCGCACCCGACGACACCCACACCCCGAATCACAGAAGGACGGGAGGTTTGGCTCCACACCTGCCGCTATTGAAATAGTTTCGTGTTGCCCCAATTCGCTGATGAGGAAACTGAGGCCCTAGCGACAGGTGGAGCCCGGGTCCCCGACCCCCAAGATGCGCTGGGCGCTGGAGACGTCTCCTCCCCCTCCAGGCGCTGGTGCACATGGCTTCCTCCCCGGCGGGGGACGTGTCCTGCAGGCGGCGGGAGAAGCGGCGGCAACTGGACGCGCGCCGCAGCAAGTGCCGCATCCGGCTGGGCGGGCACATGGAGCAGTGGTGCCTCCTCAAGGAGCGGCTGGGCTTCTCCCTGCACTCACAACTCGCCAAGTTCCTGTTGGACCGGTTAGGGGCCAGGAGAGGGGCTCGGGGAGGGCACCCAGGCAGCAGCCCCTAACCCCACTCCAGGGCCTGTCCTGCTGCTCTGTCCCACCCCAGGTTTCTCACTTTAGCAGGACGGCCTGTGTGACTTGTGGCCCCACTGGGGCCCTGCTCCCCTCCTCACGGTCTCAGCAAATAGCGGGCCCTTGGGGCTGGCCCCTCCCATGTGTGAGTGCCCAGGGCTGAGGGTGGCTGGGCACCGGGGCCCTGACCTGCCTCTTCTCCTGCTGGCAGGTACACTTCTTCGGGCTGTGTCCTCTGTGCAGGTAGGTAGGGGATGGCAGGGGGTGACAGCCAGAGGGAAGAGGGGCCGCAGGGTGACCCAGAAACACCCTCCTCAAGGAGTGTTGCATCAGAGGAAGCCCTGAGTGAGTTTGAGAAGGGTGGGGTGAGTTGGGGAACACCGGGCAGTTTGATGGGGGCAACCTCTTGGTGGGGAAGGGAGCAAAGTCTTAGGACCCAATGTGTCTAGGTTCTGAAAAATGATACATTGGACTGTGGCTGAGATTGCCCTGGGGTTTGAGGGGAACAGGGCTCTCTGGGTAAGAGGAGGAGACTTCCCAATTCAGCCTGACTGCTTCCCCCACCCCTCCAGGTCCTGAGCCTTTGCCTCCAAAAGGTCTGCAGTATCTGGTGCTCTTGTCTCATGCCCACAGCAGAGAGTGCAGCCTGGTGCCCGGGCTTCGGGGGCCTGGCGGCCAAGATGGGGGGCTTGTGTGGGAGTGCTCAGCAGGCCATACCTTCTCCTGGGGACCCTCTTTGAGCCCTACACCTTCAGAGGCACTCAAGCCAGCCTCCCTTCCACATACTACCCGGAGAAGTTGGTGTCCCGAGGCCACGAGTGGGCAGGAGCTTGCAGGTAGGCTGGTAAAAAGCAGAGTTGTGGAGAAAAGGGAGGAAAAAGGTTTCCCATTTTCTCTAGCTCAGAACGCTGTTCTGTAAAAGTGATCCATTTTCAATTGAAAAACTATGTTGACAAAGAAATATATCATCAAATACATTGTTGGGCATGAAAAGCAAAACAAAATAGGGTGTATGGTATGACATCATTGGTGAAAAATACAAATAAGGGGAAAATCGTGTGTGTGTGTGTGTGTGTACTTGTGAATGTATAGGATATCTCTGGAAGGCACATAGGAAACCAGGTTGCCTGTGGGAAGAAGCAGGTGATGGGAAACAGTATTGGAAAGGAAATTTTTGAATGGATAGTTCTGTGAACTATGTGAATATCATCTCTGAAACACAACAACCTCTCCTACTCCAATAGCCTCTGCTCCCTCCTCCTCCTCCTCAAAAGCCTCTGGCTGGGTGCAGCAGCTCACGCCTATAATCCTAGTACTTTGGGAGGCCAAGGAAAGAGGATCACTTGAGCCCAGGACTTTGAGACCAGCCTGGGTAACATAGTGAGACCCAGTCTCTATTTAGAAAAAAAAAAAAAAGTCTCCCATCACTTCAGACCTTAGAACTTTACGTGTCCTCATCCCTCGAGTCCAGAGTTCCTTCCCTTTTGACTCTGCCTATCCCACAGATTTGGAATCTGAGCATGATGAGAGGACCCAAGAGGCCAGGTTGCCCAGGTGAGGATGCAGGTAGGAGGGAAAGGGCAGAATTGCATGGATGGGAGGATGAGGGAGAAAGACCTCAGGCTTGCCTTCTTTTGGTCTGCAGGAGGGTGGGACCCCCACCAGAGACCTTCCCACCTCCAGGAGAGGAAGAGGGTGAGGAAGAAGAGGACGATGATGAGGATGAAGAGGAGATGCTCAGTGATGCCAGCTTATGGACCTACAGCTCCTCCCCAGATGAGCAAGTTGGGGTTGAGGGAGAATACTGAGCAGAGCAAGAGAGGGAGGAGCCAGCTGGCCTGGCAGTTCAAGGCTTTGCAGACTAGGGAGAAGGGCTTGTTGGTGTGGAGGGAAGGGTGGGTTTTGGGGAAAGCAAAAAGAACTAGAGGCTTTGAACTGAGGGAATAAAAAGGGGTGAAGTCAGGCGCAGGGAGATTGAGGACTGAAAGCAGGTATGAATGGGGAGCCTAGGGTGGGGGTAGGGTTGATTCAAGTTTGAGATCTTTTCGATTTAGGGGTTAGGGTCGGGCTGGGGCTGGCTGGCTGCCAAGAGATAATGCCATCTTCCTCTTTGTTCTCCTTTCAGTAGTGAGCCTGACACCCCCAGACTACCCCCTTCCCCTGTCACCTGCACACCTAAAGAGGGGGAAACACCACCAGCCCCTGCAGCACTCTCCACTCCTCTTGCTGTACCATCCTTGTCAGCATCCTCATTGGAATCCAGAGCTCCTCCACTTGCAGAAGTCGAGGTGCAGCCAGAGCTCCGCAGGACCCCTCAAGCGGCCCAGCAGGCCGAGCCCCTGGCCAGGTAACCTGATGGCTGAGACAGAAAGGGCAGGGGCATCCTGGGATGTGGCCCTCCCTCGAGGCCCTCTGCTCCCTCTTTGCTGCCCATAGCACTGGGAGTCTGGCCCAGTCTGCTCCAACCCCGGCCTGGGATGAGGACACTTCACAGATTGGCCCAAAGAGAATTAGGTAGGACTTGGGGAGATGGGGTCCTGAGGAGGGCAGAGAGGAGGGAGGCAGAGAAGGGGAGGCAGGAGTTGTCCTGCTCTTCTCCATTCTCCTTCCCAGGAAAGCTGCCAAAAGAGAGCTGATGCCTTGTGACTTCCCTGGCTGTGGAAGGATCTTCTCCAACCGGCAGTATTTGAATGTAAGGGGCACAGGTTGGGGCCTGTGTGGCTGCTGGGGTGGGGGAAAAGGGTTGAAAGAGAAACTAGGGAAAAGGATCCTAAGGCATGGGAGGGTTCAGAACCTGGAAGCAGAGGATTAGGATAGACATGCAGAGCTTTCCTATGATTAATCATCATTAAACCAGATGGCTGAATGCAGTGGCTCACACCTGTAATCCCAGTACTTTCAAAGGCTAAGGCTGGTAGATCACCTGAGGTCGGGAGTTCAAGACCAGCCTGACCAACATGGAGAAATCCTATCTCTACTAAAAATACAAAAAATTAGCTGGGCATGATAGTGCATGCCTATAATCCCAGCTACTCAGGAAGCTAAGACAGAAGAATCGCTTAGTGAGGGATTCTTACCTGGGAGGCAGAGGTTGCAGTGAGCCAAGATTGTGCCATTGCACTCCAGCCTCCGCAACAAGAACGAAACTCCATCTCAGAAAAAACTAAACCAAAACAAAAAAAATCAGACAACTGATAGATGAAACCATGCCTCAGGTGCACAGAGCACTAGCCTCTACTGCTTGTTCCATGGTGGACCCCACAGAGTAACAATGGCATGGATCAGGTTCCCCTGAAGGTGCTAATGACAGTTCTGGGCACTTGACATGTATAAAGTCTTTTGGTCCTCACAACATCCCTACGGCTTAGGTGCTATTATTCCCTCTTTGCAGACAGAAAGGTTAGGCATTGGTCAAGGCTCTTGAGCTAGTATGTGTTAGTGCTGGGGTTCTGAGCCTGTTGGCCTGGCTGCAGAGTCCATGCCTGGGCTGCCTCATATCCTGGCTTGAGAGGGTAGTCCTAGAGTGTAAAGGGCTGGGAGATGGTCCTGTCCCCAGTCAGAGGCACAGAAGGGGAAGGGCCCAATCTCCACAGTCAGTCAGAGCCCTTGGCACAGCAGGTACCAAGGCTGGGGAGGGCCACAGTCACTGGCATGGTGAGGTGTTGGTAGATAGACAGGAGAATTCTGCCCACAGATGACAAAGAGAGGAATCCAGTGAAAAGGGAAAATATCCCGTGATGATAGTGAAACTCTGGGCTAAAGAGAGCATTCAGCAGGGCATGCCAGACATTCTAGAGTCTGTTATGGAAGAGACTGGAGCAGCCCCTGGAAGTTTAACTATGGAAAAATGGGATTCTAAAGAAGGGGACAGCCCATGCAATTCAGTGAGCCAGGATGCCAAGTTAGGTCAAGTGAAAAGAGAAGTATTTTGATATTAAGGAGTTAAGGTTGAAAAGCCTGTTACCCTTAACAGTGTTCTAGGTTGATAGCGTGTGTGGGGGGGGAGAGATATACTGTTGAATATGAATACTGATGTCAAAAAGGATAATCATACTTATGTGAACTACTTTCGCCTCCCCAGCAGATAGTGCATTCATGATTAGGTGAACCAGGGGTGTCACCCAGAGTGATGCTTTGTATAAGGAACACTGTAGGACATTGCAGGGTGAGACTGTGACAAGGAGGTGAGATAATAGAAGTCAAGCACAGAACAGGGTGACAGGAGAGCTGAGTGGTCAGGATGGGATGGGTATGGTTCTCATGGTCTAGGTGAGGACTGAGCCTCGAGGAGATGAGCAGGCCATGACAGGGAGAGCTGCTGGGGCCAGGGAGGGGACAGAGGAACATGCCTGCTGGGTCAGCTCAGTTGATCTACCTGTGGAAGGCTATTCTTTTGCCTCTTCTCTCCCCACCACCCACTTCCTTCTCTAGCACCACAAAAAGTACCAACACATCCACCAGAAGTCTTTCTCCTGCCCAGAGCCAGCCTGTGGGAAGTCCTTCAACTTTAAGAAACACCTGAAGGAGCACATGAAGCTGCACAGTGGTGAGTGGTGGAACTCCACCTTTCTGTGTGGGACCTTTTACCTTCCTCTGTGGGTCCTATCACCCCTGCTCTATAGATTTCATCACCTCCCCCTCGGTGGGGTCCTGTCACCTCCCTCTCTGTGGGTTTCTAGTTTCCTCTGAGGGACAACTCTGACTCATCCTGCATGCGCTGTGTGTTAAGCACCTGCTTGCTTTAGACTGTTCTGGGTACTGGGTACGGCAATGAACAGCGCAAGCAGTGCTAACCCTCTTGAGACATCCACTTTAGTGATACAGGGCTGTGAAGAAATGTGGAAGCAAGGGAAAGGAAAGCATAAGGAGGAGCTGCTGTTGGAGAAAGAGAAGATGCTTTCAGCAAAGACCTAAGTGAAGTGAGGAATGGAGACCTGTACCTTACGGACTATGGGCAGCGCCTGTGGGAAGGCCTTTAGGTGGTACCTGGGTGACATGCTCCAGGAATAGGGAAGAGGCCAGGAGCTGAGAAAAGAGAGAGATCACATAGTTGGTGGAAGCCTCTGAGACCATCCACAGGAGTCTGACATCTGCTTTAGGCGAGATGGGTGCCATTGCAGAGTCTTGAATGGCAGAGGGACCTGGCTGACTTTTTAAAAGATCATTGTGGCAGCTGTGTGAAGAAGAGGGGGACCTCAGATGAGCAGCACCAGGCACTCAGCTGTGAGATGACTGCAGAAACATGCAAGGCAAGGTGGTACCTGGATTTGCTGGTAGCAGTTGAGTCGGCGAGGAACGGCTGGAGGCCACTGTGTGCACAGATGGAGCCAAATGGGGTGCTGTGGGAAGGAATAGGTTGGCTACAGTTGAGTGGGCAGGGAGGAGCTGGGTAACTCAGAGGATTCTAGCCTGAGCAGCCGTGCAGAAGGTGATGTGATTTCCTGAAAACAAGGGATAAACGGGCTTGGGAAGGGAAATTTGATTTGAGACATGCTAATTAAACATCCAGGAGATGTGAATGTGGAGATTAGGGGAGATGTCAGGCATAACTATAAATATAAATGTGTGTGTCATGAGCATATGGGTGGTATTTAGAGCCATGGGGCCAGACTGTCGTTACATAGAGGGAGTGTGTGTCATGGCACTCTAGCCATTCAGTAGAGGGCAGGCCAGGTACATGGTCAGGAAGATGAAGAGAGTGCTGTTTGCAGAGCTGAGTATAGAAAATGCTCCAGGGAGGAAGGGGCAATGATTGCCACTGCAACAGGCCAAATAAAGTAAGTTGAGAACACGCCACCAGATCTGGCAGTGGGGACGCCATCAGATGACAAGATGGAACTGACAGGAGGGGCGGTGTAGCTGTCAGTCTGATAGTCACAATGGAGTGCGCTCAAGGTGGAGTGAAGACACAAGTGTGGACAACTCTGTAGAGTTTTGCTGTAAGATGGGCAGATAAATGGAGTGTTCGCTAGAAGGCTGTGGGTTCAGGGTGCAGAGATGGAAATGATTCCATAGAGAAAGGCTTGCTGCTGAGGCTGGAGTGGGGTGGGAGACCTCAAGTGTGGAGCTGGTCTTTCAGGGCAGAGTGGGGAGCTGCCACAGGGTAGGCAGTTTGAGTAGTCATTTATATAGGCAAAGATGCAAGTTGAATAGTGGATTTGGTGGGCAGAAGATGTGGGTGTTCTAGTTTCTTAGCAACTTTAAAAACAAGAGCACTTCTGAATAAGGTAGGCTGGGGGTGTTGCAGGCTGGTGGGGAAAGGAGGTGGTGTGAAATGTCTTGTATTTCTAGAAAGTTGGAAAAGTGAACTGATAAGGGAAATGCAGACGCAGTAGGGCAGGAAGGGGGCCTTAAGACTTGTGGTTATAGATGAAAAGGGTGGCGGAGAGGAAGACTTTGCCCCCTTCTGTACACCCATGCAACCCTGGAGCAGAACAAAAGTTATGTTTATCCTGAGTTGGGCTTTAACCAAGCAAGTACAGTGGATGGAGAAAGGGACAGGAAGATTGGTAGTGTGAATGAAAGAAGGCAACAAAGATGGCTGTGGAAATGCAGCTGAGTGGGGATGGGCTCAGAGGGAAGATGGTAGGGCCAGTAGACTGGTCTCATCATGGGATTATCATAGCAAGAGGACGAGAAAGGAGGCCCTGGCGGGAACCAGGATGCTTGAAATCACAATTTCCTTTTTTCTTCCCCTAACCTACTGTATCTTAGAAGAAATTGCAGTGTTTGAAGTGGTGCAGTGTGTGGGTGTGACCTGAGACTGGCGGCTGAGGAGGGTTAGCGATGAGGTCAGTGAGGTCAGGGAACAGTGGGCAGTAATGGCGGCTGACAGGAGTGGAGGGGCTGAACCCAGAGTTGTGTGGATGGCGGGGGTGTGATGGGAACCAAGGAGGAGGCTGGAGGTATATGTGTGTGTGGTCTGATGAAGGGGTCTTCAGAGAGGTGGTGATGGTAGAGGTGGTCTAAAGGGCATCATGAAAAGCAAAGACACCTTCTCTACTGTAGGCCGTGAGGTTTGGTGGGTTAGAAAAATCACAGCAGCCTGTGAGAGCTGCTGGCAACACAGTGACCATGGGCAACAGGCAGGTGCTATTGGAACAAGCAGGGAGGGCAGGTTCAGGGAAAAAGAGGAGAGGGAATTGGCTGCCTGCAGACAGGTAGTTCCACAGGGCCCTGATATGGTCTGCTACCGCTGGGATATGCAAGCCTGAACGGGTGGTAGATGACTCCAGATGCCAGGGACTGTCGTGGGGCCTTGAGCTTCAATCATAATTCCCATCACTGACTCCAAGCTTCTGCTTGGGGCTGCTGCCTAGTGCCTTCAATTCATACTAAGGACCCAGCTCTCCATTCCATGTGTCTCCTTTGAGAAAGAACCAGGCTAGAGGCTCAGAGGCGGGATAGTGCACCTCCACTGGGAGTTCATTGGTTTGAGTGGGATTGGCGGGCAGGGGGTAGGGTGAACAATAATGAAGTCTTTTAGCTGGGTTCGTATCTTACTTGGTTGTCATGACCAATCAAGTAAGAGGTCCAGACAGGCTCCATGATTTGGATACAAGTGATTAGAACTTGAGCCTCCTGACCTCTAATACTGGTGCACTCCTATGATGGACAGTTGGGGAGGTGGGCCAAGGAGGGGCCACAGGGTGGGCACAGATGCTGGAGTGCCCCTCATGTGCCTGCAGACACCCGGGACTACATCTGTGAGTTCTGCGCCCGGTCTTTCCGCACCAGCAGCAACCTTGTCATCCACAGACGTATCCACACTGGAGAAAAACCCCTGCAGTGAGTGCTGGGGTGGGGGTCTGTGGGCCAGGGGACAGAAGGGAGGAGGTGGAGTCGGGAAGCTACGCATACAGGACACCTAGGCTGTGGGGAGCAGCAGGAACCCCCTAGGGAAGTCAGGATGGCCTGAGCCCTGTACCTTCCCTCCTCTGTCCCTGGCTTCAGATGTGAGATATGCGGATTCACCTGCCGCCAGAAGGCCTCCCTGAACTGGCACCAGCGCAAGCACGCAGAGACGGTGGCTGCCTTGCGCTTCCCCTGTGAATTCTGTGGCAAGCGCTTTGAGAAGCCAGACAGTGTTGCAGCCCACTGTAGCAAAAGTCACCCTGCCCTGCTGTTAGCCCCTCAAGAGTCACCCAGTGGCCCCCTAGAGCCCTGTTCCACCATCTCTGCCCCTGGGCCTCTGGGATTCAGTGAGGGGTCCAAGTCCTTTGCATCTCCTCAGGCTCCAACCCTGCCCCCTCAGCAATGAGCTCTCTAGCTTTGGCTTTGGGGAGCCAGACTCCAGAGACTGAAAAGGAGCAATGAAGAGAGTCTACTGAGAAACACCAGATACTTGGTCCCCAGGAACTAAGGCGACAGAGTGCAGAGTGCAGGGTGGGGGCAAGACTGGACTGTAGGAAAGCCGGACTACTTTAGTCTTCCTAAAGGACAAATAAACAGAGTATTTTATGTGGGCATGTATGGGCAGAGTGAGTGTTTTGGCACCTGAGGTTCAGAAACCCTGGATCCCTTTGAAAGCATGGACCAGAATGCAGCTTAGGTGGAGGCCCTGTTTCTGTCTCTGCAGGCCCTCACCTCTGGGCGTTTCCAGACTCACTTTGACACTTTGCAGCCCTTTCCTGTGGAGTAAAACACTCACTCTTACACTCAAATAGAGCAGGCAGAGATAGTCTGGAGAGTGCTGGGTCACTCCTGGTGGACTAGCTGGAGCAGAAATAGAGGCATATGATCCTGGGCTATCTTGTACTTCCATCAGCAGAGAAAACCCAATGTGTAGGCCTTGTCTCACCTTTTAGTGTGGAATCAAGTGGTCCTCCATGTAAGATCACTGAGCTGCCTTGGGAAGGTTCAAGAGACCTTGGAACTGAATGGACCTACTCTTGGATCACTTCCAAACTCTGGTCAGCAGCCTTAGGTTTGACAAAGGGGACACTTGGCATCTAGAACCCAAACAAACAACTTTATTTCACTAGCCATTAGCAAAAATTGTTGACCTGTTGAAGGGATTTTCCATCCTGCCCCCTCCCTGTGGTGGAACCTATTTCCCCATGGTTCCCATGATGTGGAAACAAACTCGTGCTCCACTTGGCATTCCTGGCTTTGTGGACCCTCATGGTTTTGGCCTGGGTCTCAGCAAAAATGTCCACCTGGCTAGGGAACATTGTCCTGAAAGGCGCGTTGATTTGCCCTGAGGACACGTGGCCATGCTGAGGACCCCGTCCACCTTCATGTGGCGGCCACCAGGGAGCAGGCAGCGCCCAGATGGAGACAAGAAGACCATAGGGCTAGTGATATGTAACTACAGCCAAATTTGTGACCATTACCTGAAGAGGCAGGGCAACAAAAGTAATCAGGAAAGGAGAAGCAGAAGAGATGCAGGCTGGAATAAAGAGATGGGACGAGAAAATAAGACAAAGGCAGGAACATCAGAAACACCAGCAAGCACAGTAGCATTAATGGGACACACCAATACTGGGCTCTTGCACACCGGGGAGTCTAAGGTTTCCCTCTCTGCACCTACACCTTAGGAGAGATGCCAAGTTATACCAGGACAGGATGGCAAAAGTTGACAGGGAAGTAGGTGTAGAGGCGAGGCACGAGGCCAAGTGAATGGCTGCCAATGGAAACTGGAAAGGCAGGAGGCCACATGCTTTTCCCAAACGTCCGTCTGCAAGTTGCCTCACCGGTCCCTGTGATGCCATCTAGGTGCTTGCCTAACCACCTTTACAGAAGCCTCAGCAAGCCTCCTTCAACTAGGACACAAAGAACCCTGACCTTTCCTGTTCAGCCGACCCCTCTAAGGCGAGGGCAGCGCCTACTGCGGCCTGGATGGCAACAGCGGCAACAGCGGCAGCTGTGGCAGCAGCACGCGCGCGCGTGTGGGCCCGCTGATGCTGCGACAGCGAGCGGCTGTGGCTGAAGCACTTGCCACACTCCGCGCACTCCGCTGGCCGTTCTCCCAGGTGCGTCTTGCGGTGGAGCGCAAGCTTAGAGGCGACGCTGAAGGCCCTGCCGCACTCAGGACATTTGTGTGGCTTGTGGCCGGCATGGTTGCGCCGATGAACGTTGAGATTGGACACGCACGTGAACCGTTTGCCGCACTGTTCGCAGCGGTAGGGCTTCTCGCCTGTGTGCGTGCGCCGGTGCTTGGTGAGGTCCGAGCGGTCGCTGAAGCGACGGCTGCACTCTGGGCACGGGAAGGGCTTCTCGCCCGTGTGGATGCGCTGGTGCACCACCAGGTCGGAGCGCTGCCCGAAGCCCTTGCCGCAAGTGGCGCACGCATGTGGCCGCTCGCCCTTGTGGCTGCGCCGGTGGCGCAGCAGCGTGGAACTCTCGCTGAAGCAGCGTCCGCAGTCGCCACATGCGTATGGCTTCTCACCTGTGTGTGTGCGCCGGTGGCGCACCAGCGTGGCGCTCTCCAGGAAGCCCTTGCCGCACTCCGGGCACTTGAACGGTTTCTCCCCCGAGTGCGTCTGCAGGTGTCGCGTCAGCGTAGAGTTCTTGCCAAAGCTCTTGCCGCACACGCCACACTGGTGGGCGTCTGAGGCACGGGGTCGCCTGGGGCTCTGGGACACGTGGATGCGCGCATGACTCCGCAGCGCAGCGCCGCTTCGGAAGCCTCGCGGGCACTGCGCGCAACGGTGGCGTGGGCCAGCAGGGTCAGAGTTTGTCCCCGGACGGTGCGCCCGCGCCTGGTGGAAGCGCAGCGCACTCTGTCGGAAGGCGCGGGAACACAGGGGGCAGCGGCGGGGCGGCTCTGGCAGATGATGCCGGCGGCGGTGCAGCAGCAGCGCCGGGAGATGCGGGAAGCTGCGGCCACATGTATGGCAGAGGCATGAGCGGCCACGCTGCCGGTGTGCGCCCAAGTGTAGGTCAAGGCGGCTGCTGTGGCGGAAGCTTTGGCCGCACTCACTGCAGATGTAGAGGGTCTGGCCAGCATGGCTGCGCCTGTGCGCTTGGAAGTCAGCAGCCCCTGTGCAGGGCTCGCCGCATTCTAGGCAACGGAAGCGGCTGTTGCCGCCGTGAGATCGTTCATGTCGCAGCAGCACTGAGCTGTAGCAGAAGCTCTTGCCACACTCACCGCACATGTAAGGCTTCCCCGCTGCCACCGTTGCAGATATGGTGAACATGGTGAGGATGAGTTCACAGAATGTGCCACTCACACTCTGGGATCCACCTCCTGATGCTGTGGCTAAGTGTTACTTTTCTTAAGGCCTGGAAAGGGCAATGTAACAGAAAGGAAAGAAGGAGGCCATGAAAACTGGTCCAATTCCAGGGGTCTTCTCTAAGGGGCAGACACTGCAGCTGTCCAGAGGTCGGATGTGGCCAGGTTCACCCTGCACCGTGGGCCTGTGGGGAGAAGGTCATTGTGAGCTTCCGCAGCAGCTCCTGAGGAATGGAGAGGGGAACATGAACTCCCTATTTCTTATAACTTCCTCAGGTAATCCACCTCCAGGATTCCCTTCTCCAAGACAAAGCAAAGCCACGAGCGTCGTCCTTGAACCACCTGTGAGGGCAGGAGGGACAAACTACAAGTGTCCTGGAGAACAAACAGGAATAGATTCAAAGGGGAGCTTGATTTCAGCATGGGAGCCATCAACACTGCTCTGAGGGAAGGGAAAGCCAAGCCTGTTTTCTGGCCTTAGATGGGGATCCTTGTCTGGAGATACATTAGGAAAGGACCAAGGCGGAATGGGCAGTGAGAGGTTCCCTGGGTTTAGGCTATACCAATGCCTTCCTCCAAGACCCAGGTTTCCTGGGTCACTGACATGAACCCAGCCAGGCTTGGGTGGGAGGGACAAAGCAGGTAATGTGATGAAGCACAAACAGGTCCAGCAACAAGAGCCAGGTAAAGGGCTCGGACCCCAAAGCTACTGAAGAGGCTAGGGCCTGGCCAAGGGAAGGCATTTGAGAAACCCCAAAATACTGTTCCTTGGATTTGGACAGCACTTGATAAACACACTATCCCATGCCAGTATACAGCCCCAAAATTGAGAAAGCAACTCAGGACCCAGACAAGGGGTAAAAAGGGAGCATAGGTAATTCACAAAAAAATTAAAAGTTGGTGGCATTATCCAAGAAATACTTTTCACATTTTCAGGAAAGGCTGGGGAAAAGGAAGGGGCATCCTTTCTATAGTAATTGTCAGGATATCCAAGTTGTTTGTGAAGGTTTGAGTATGATGAATTTGATGAAGAAAGCCATATTGTTTATAAACATTCTGCTGTATTTCTTCACTGTCCCAGCTTCAGGGATCTAAGAATCGGGAGTAGCAGAAAAACTCCTTTATGGAGACCAAATCTGCTCTATTATCCTGTTTGTCTCATATGATATCCCTGAATTACTCTGACAAGCTGGTCCAGGCAGCTGTCTGGGAACAGGGTCAGCCTTTGCAGTACGTGCACAGAACTGCACATGCCGTCTAGTCAAGAGCACAAACGTGGCTGCTCTCCTCACCTGGCTAGCCTTACCACTGACCACTGCTCTCAAGGCCCATAGGTCAATCTCCAGCAACTGGACAGCAGTTAGTATAGGATAGCTCCTTGTCGCTCAATAGATCAGGGAGAGGAGGTACACAAAATGGTCTGCTGTCACTTTCCTCTTAGCAGATGAAAGTTCATCATAGATACTCAAAACTTTGGTTAAAAATACCCTCACAGACAGGGTCCTTATGTTTTGTATGCAAATGGGGTAAAGTGAAAAAAGCCTTGAAAATAGCAAACCTGCAAGGCCAGGCTCTGGAGCTTCTGCTCCCCCACCAGGCTGGGCAGGAGTAGCCAGCATGGGATGTCCTCCTCTTGTGCCTCTGGAGTAAGATGTGCTGTGCCCTGCAGAGGTGAAGTAAAAGGGAAAATGTGAATTACAACTGAGAGGGGGAAAAAGGGAGGGAAATATTTTCTGGAGGAGGGTATGTATTTAATGGACATTTTAAAATATAAAAAACTAGGGAGAACAGTATCACAAATCACTCACCATTTTATCATTCTTGTTTCATTCACGCCACCACTCTGCTTTTTTTGGGGGGGGTAGGGAAGGTTCTAGAACATTTTAAATCTCAGACATCTTATACAAACAGCATGATTAGTATGATTTTTAATCAAAAAATGCAAGCAGGAACTCTAGAATAGATTTTTTTTTTTTTTTTTTTGACAGCCTCTCTCTGTCACTCAGGCTGGAGTGCAGTTGCTGGATCTCAGCTCACTGCAACTTCCACCTCCTGGATTCAAGTAGCTGCGATTATAGGCAAGTAACACTGTGCCTGGCTAATTTTTGTATTTTTGGTAGAGCTGGCGTTCTGCCATATTGGCCAGGATGGTTTTGAACTTCTGAACTAAAGTGATCTCCCCGCTTTGGCCTCCCAAAGCACTGGGATTACAGGCGTGAGCTACCACACCCAGGCTGAAGTAGACTTCAGAGAGAGTCCCTTGGTTCCTCCAGAGGGACTTTCAACCCAGACACATGAGCTGCTAATTCTAGTTAGACGTCAGTTCAGAGGAATGTTTGCCCTTCTGAAAATAAAAACTTCCCTGGAGACTCAGTGGCTGATCCCAAATGCCAAGGAAAGCAATGCTCATGCCCCACTGAGTGCTCTGCCTCCTCCTTCGGTATCTGGAGACCATGGTACCTCTCAAAGCATGTTTCTGGGAGCCCGCCCTTGCCCAGGCCACTGCCTCCCAGGGCACATGCCCAAGGAAGACAAATGCACAAATGCCAACATGCACACATAAATGGCATATAAATAATAATACCATTTCCTTCCATTATGGATGCAGAATAAGACACTCGCTAGTATGCAGGATTTGGAGCTTGAGTGCCAAGGCAGGCTCTTCAAGTCTCTCTTCTGTATCTCACCCCATGCTGGAGCTCATCCTACAGGCAAAGGGGTCTGTGTTTGGAGTGGAAACCTGAAAGAAAAAATATTACTGTGCCAAAAAAAGAATGACTCCTAGACCATCCTAATTCCTACTCTTCTGATTGAACGTGAGTTTTTGGAAAGAGGGAAGGGGAAAATTACGTGTGAATTGGTGAAAATTCGCATTGTTGAATACATATGTAAGTACCTTTTAAGCATTTAATACAAATACTATATATATAACTAAAAAAAAAAAAAAACCCAAGTATTAATAAGGAAGATAAGCTAATAGAAAAACTAATATTTACAACATGGTCAAGATGAACTTCTGAGTTTTATATGTCATGTGTTTCTTAATAGATATTGCAAGTATTTCATACCATATCTAAATTAATCACAAATTGCAAATCCAGAGTGTTAGATTTAACCAGGATTTAGAACATTTATTAACAATCTACTGTGACAGATTTTTCTTGAGTTGCATCCTTCAATCAGAATAAAGATTTTTCTTCCCTGGTTATCTGTTCTGCCATGCCAGTATTTCTGGGGTGGGACAAAAGACCTCAAAAAGCCATGATTCACAAGAAACAAGTGGTCACCTTGAAGTCAGAGTTGGTAAACCTGGTCTGGGCAGCAAGGATTAGGGCTGAGGGGAACTCTCCAATGCTGTGCTGTCTACTACAGCAGCCCAGAACCACATGTGGTGACTGAGCACTTGAAACATGACTGGTTCAAACTGAGATGAGTGGTAAGAGCCAAATACTCTCCTCATTTCCAAGAGTTACTATTAAAAAAGAATGCAAAATACCTCATTAATAATGTTTAGTATTGATTATATGTTGAAATGATATTTTTTTAATATATTGGGTTAAATGAAATATATCAGAATACATTTTGCCCATTTTTAAGGAAAATTTAAGATTACAAAAGTGGTTTATATTTTATTTCTGTTGGATAGTGCTTGTCCAAATGGCCTTTCCAAATCCTTGAACATACAAATGGAGGCTGGCCCACCTCAGTCCTTGGAGGGCTTTAGTTGGGAAAAGTTCACCCACCCTGCCTGACCTTCAGAGCTCCAGTAAGGATAGAGTTCCTCTCATTTTCCAAGACCCTAGTTCCTAGCCACCCTCTACAGAAAAGTCCACCTGCTGTTTTGGAAACTGGACATCTAGACCTGGTAGGGAATTGGTGTTATGACTTATGAAAAACCTTCTCTCACTGCGACTCTCAGAAGGTGAAAGCATACCAGTTGTTACTGGTAACACACAATCACCTGTTTATACATGTTTCCCTTTCGTCCTCCCAGTACTTTGGGTGGCTGTTACCAGTAACCCGCATGTGACGTGGGCTTCCTATGCAGGCTTGTCCAGTCATCCAGCACAAGTGCACAGCTGGGTCTGGGGACAGGAGTAAGGCAGCAGGCCAGGTAGCCTATCTCTCACTCTGCCTGGGTCAGCCCCCGCCCCTTCCTAGAGGCCCCAGGAGGCTTGTAGCAGCTCACTGAACACCAGGGACAGACCTGGCTGTGAAGTTCACAGAGAAGCACAAGGCAGCCCGGGAACAAGAGGGTAAAATGCCAACCCCAAGAACCACCACTTTGGGCCCTGGGATTGCTGTGTGCGCTGTGTTAACCTTGAAGCTCTGGTCCAGAAATGGAACGGTCCCCATGACATGAGGGGCAGGAACTGACAGTGGGAGTGTGGGAGTTTTAGCTGCATCAGGAGAGATGATTCTTCTGCTGGCTTCTCCTTGTATTCTTACCCCTCAGGATCTGAGTGATGCTGCTATCTCTAGGATTCTGTGATACCCCTAGAATGCCCTGAAATCCAGATGAGATAGAAGCAAATTATCCATTCCCCACTCTAGAAAGGGTATGGAGAAGTTTCCCTGGCCTTCAGAAGGCAGCTCTGGGGCCTTGCCACTTACAGTTCCTTCTACCAGCAAAGCTCTCTCACTCTCTCATTCAGGACTCTCTACTTAACCCTTTCCCAGAGAGGCTCCTCCTGCCTCCATACCTGCCTCACACTCAGCTTTATTCTTCCTTATCTGGGATGCTCTGGCCACTCTGGCCTTCAGCATTGCTTGTGTCTCAAAGGAACAGGATAAACTCTCACTATATGTTCTCTCACTGTCTACATCCATACCTTCTCTAGGCTTCCCAGATTTCACAAGAAAATCTTTGTGAAACCAAAACTTTCAAAAGAATGTATGTGGACCATGATCAGACTTGAGCACGTGGGGTAGGAGCGAACTGTTATTCCTGCTTCCACCAGCACCTTAGACATGTCAGACTGATTCTGAAGCTGGAAGGAGAATATATTAATCGGTGAATTTAACAGGAAACAGGGATTACTATCCACTCTGGAAAGATTTAAGCCCTGTTCTAGGAGGTGCTGATAGGGTATGGAATTCAGAGCACCAGAATTGCCACTCCTTGCTTCCTTCTCCCCATAAAGAAAGAAAATCCAGTACTTCAAAAGATGTTGCTCCTTCCAGCTTCAGATTCAGTCTCTGTCTAAGGAGCTGGTGGAAATAGGAATGACAGTTCGCTCTCATGCAAGTGTTCAAGTCTGACGGTGAGCCAATACGTTTTTATTTTGGAGACGGAGTCTCACTCTGTCGCCCAGGAAAAAGTTCAGTGGCACCATCTCAGTGCGATCTCAGCTTACCGCAACCTCTACCTCAGAGTTTCAAGCGATTCTCGTGCCTCAGCCTCCTGAGTAGCTGGAATTACAAGCTTGAGCTACCACAGCTAATTTTTATATTTTTAGTAGAGGCAGGGTTTTGCCATATTACCCAGGCTGGTCTCGAACTCTGGGCCTCAAGTGATCCTCCTGCTTCAGCCTCCCAAAGTGCTGGGATTATAGGTGCAAGCCACCAGGCCCGGCCCAAATACATTCTTTTGAAAGTTTTGATTTCACAAAGATTTTCCTGTGAAATCTGGGAGCCGCAGAGAAGGTATGGGTGTAGACAGGGAAAGAAGACACATAGTGAGAGTTTGTCCTGTCCCTTTGAGACACAGGCAACGCTGAAGCCTAGAGTGGCCAGAGCATCCCAGATCAGGGAGAAGGGATTATAAGGTATTTTGCACCTTTCCTGGGCCTAGCAAGGACCTGGGCACACAGAAGGCACTCAGCGCTTTTTATAAGTGACGTATTAGTCTGGAATCCAGTTTTCCCAAATGTTAGGTTCCTGGAGGAAAGAGCCTGACTACAGTCATCGTATTTGCCATAGCACTACCTGCTGCATATACTGCAAATACTCTGCTTTGATTTACCGAGCTGAGCCTGAAACCTGTGTAGTAGAACGAGAGAGGCAGAAGTCCAAATTCTGGTTTTTCCCACTAGCTGTCTGATCCTCCTGCCTGGGAAAACTTTAGTAAAGAAAGCGTGGTGGCTCATGTCTGTAATCCCAGCACTTTGGGAGGCCAAGGCGGGCAGATCACCTGAGGTCAGGAGCTGGAGATCAGCCTGGCCAACACGGTGAAACCCCATCTTTACTAAAAACACAAAATTAGCTGGGCGTGATGGTGTGCGCCTGTAGTCCTGGCTACTTGGGAGGTTGAGACAGGAGAATTGCTGGAACCCAGGAGGTAGAAGTTGCAGTGAGCTGAGATTGTGCCACTGCACTCCAGCCTGGATGGCAGAGTGAAACTCCATCCCCTCCCCCCACCAAAAAAAAAAAAAAAAAGCTAAGTCTTGCTGGGCATGGTGGCTCACACCTATAATCCCAGCACTTTGAGGGGCTGAGGCAGGTGGATCACTTGAGGTCAGGAGTTTGAGACTAGCCTGGCCAACATAGTGAAACCCCGTCTCTACCAAAAATACAAAAATCAGCCAGGTGTAGTGGCACCCATCTGTAGTCTCAGCTACTGGGGAGGCTGAGGTGGGAGGATCACTTGAACCCAGGAGGTGGAGGTTGCAGTGAGCCAAGATCACACCACTGCACTCCAGCCTGGGCAACATAGTGAGAATCCATCTCAAAAAAAAAAAATTGCTAAGACTGAGAACTGCGGTTGTCCAGTACTTAGGATTTACTGTCCCTAGAACAGTCTTTTTTTGTTGTTTGTTTTTTGAGACAGGGTCTTGCTGTCACCCAGGCTGGAGTGCAGTGATTTGATCACTGGCTCACTGCAGCCTAGACCTCCTGGACTCAAGCAACCCTCAGCCTCCTGAGGAGCTGGGACTATGGGCTCGTGCTACCACACCAGGCTAATTATTATTATTTTGTAAAGATGAGTGTTCTCACCATGTTGCCCAGCCTGGTCTTGAACTCCCGAGCTCGAGAGCCTCCCCTAGGATTACAGGTGTGAGCCACTGTGCCCAGCCCTGGACAGTTCTTAAGAGGAACTCTGAGTAAGAAGGGGCTTAACTCCCGTGTCTACTCCAGGCATCCTAAACGGTCTGCAGCCCTTTTCAGCCCTCCCCACTCAACCCCTAAGAATCCCTCACACGATTAGAGCAGCACCGCATGGGCCTCTCATAGCTCCACTTGCGCGACCTGTGGCCCCCAAGATTAAACAAGGGAAGCTAGCTATTCATTTTGGGGTTCGGTGCCTGGTACTTAAGAGCCGAGCACAGCTGTCTGCCGAATGAGGAACATGGCACCTTAACAGGTCGCTCTCCGTGACCCACAGCAGCGCAGCCAATCCCGGGCCGCCTCAGTCAGTGCGCGTCACGAGTTGCTGGGCAAACTTTCCTTGGGCTAGCGCCTTCCTACCCCCGGGCCTACCCTGGCCCGTGGCCCGTGGCGCAGCCGACCTGGAGAGCGAGACCGGGCACCAAAAACGGAGCGGGGAGAGGGTAGCGTTGACCGCTGCCAGCACCCGGTGGCGGTGGGTGCCCCCTTCAGCCGGCTCAGCCTGACGATGCCGGTGGTGGTGACGCCAACCCGAAGGTCACCCGGGGGGGCCCAGCGAGGACAGGCGGCGGGGAAGGCCTGGGAGGAGCAGGCCGCGCGGCTGCCCGCGGACCTGTCCGGCCAGTCTGTCGCTCCAGTGTCTCCGCCTCACTCCTAGCCCGGGCGGCGCTCCCGACCGCCACAGACACGAGTCGCCTGGGGCGGATGGGAGAACACGAGCCGCAGCTGAGGACCGCTGGCCCGCGCCACCCGCGCCCTCCCTGCCCTTCTGTCCCCTCACCGGTCGCCGACTGGCTCCTCTGACACCGCGTGGTTCCCCTCGGCCAGCGGCCGACCCCAGCCTCCCGGACTGCGCGACTGGGCGAGGGAGCGACGAAGGGGATGACTGCGCGCGCGCGGCCTCCGAGTGAGGGGAGCGAGGAGGCGACCGGGCGTCAGGGAGCGCAAACTCCAGTCCCTCTCGCCCACGCCGGCTAGTGGTCCGTCTCGCCCTAGCAGTGTCAGCGGTTGCCGGGAGGACTGAGAGGCCAGCAAGCTGCACAGCAGCCACAGAGCCCCTCCGGCCCCAGCTGAGGCCTGGAAGGAGGCGGGACTAGGAGAGAACGCCGAGGGACTCCAGTCCCGCCCCCGCTCGGGCCAAGGTCCCGCCCTCCCTCTGGACTTGACCAATCCCTGCCTCCCCCTTTGCCTGTCGGCCCGCCCCTGCGCCTCGTCCCTCCCAATCAGAGGAAAGGGCGCTGAGCCTGCGCGCGCCTCAGCCCCGCCTTACGGAGTCCTGGGAGCCGGGCGGTCAGCTGCGCTCTTCCGGCGGGAGTGACGGACCCGGGCAGGGGTACCCTTGGGTGCTGCCGGCGCGGTAGCCAGTGCCTGGCGCGGACAGGGCCGCGGCAGCCATCCCCGAAGTTAGGTTAGCGCCTCCTTATAAGTGAGGCCAGACTGATAACTATTATCTCTCAATCCTCACCACAGCCCTGCCAGGGGAAATTTGGGCATTTTCCCTATATTTTAGGTGAGGACCCCACAAGTTAATGAGGCGCCCAAAGTCGCAATGCTAGGTATAGGGGTTGCTGCTGGTCGGCTTGCCAGCTGTCTCTCCATGACTTTCCTGGTTGAGCTGCCTGTCCAAATGTTGCCCCTAATGTCTACTAGGCAGTGCTACTAGTGTTGTTTTACGGAAACGCATTTTGAGAGCCTGACCATCCTTTTTTTAGTGTGCCTATATCCGAACAGACGCCCAGGGATGGCCCTCAAGGCCCTTCTTTACTGCTCTAATCTTCCTTTCGAGGTCACTTAGTACCACTCTTCGTGTTACACATCTTGAGCTCTGCTGGGGGGGTCCCCTAAATTAGTGTACACTCAGATCTGGCACGCTTGGCCTGGAAAACTCACCTTCTTCTCTGTTTTAATTTCTAAAAGTTTAGTCAAACGCCATCTCCATAAACCTATGCTAGAATGCCCCTCTCCGTCCTCAGTCCTGGAGATACATCCATGTGGCAGTGCAACCTCCTGCATGTTGTTACTGTCGTTATAGTCAGATGAACACTGTTCCCCCATAGCTTAAGGGACAGGCCTTGTCCTACTCATGAACGATTGATCCCTTGAAACATAAGCACAAGGCCAGCACACCACAGATGATCAATGAGTGTTTGCTGACCTGCATATGACAACACAGACTAAGGAAGACAGATATGGTAGCGGCAGGCAAGAAAGCTGAAAACCAAGACACAGGATGCAGGTCTGGAGTGATGAGGTCCTGAACCAGGAAGGGATAAAATTGAGAGACATGGAAAATGTGCTTGAGGTACACATATTTTTATTGTAAAGAATCATACACAGATAAGGTAGTATTATGTAGAGAGTGACTAGTTGAGGATAATTTCAGAGTCTTTTAGCCAGAGAAATGGACTAATTTAGACATTTCTGGACTCATTGATCATTATTGATATCATGTTTTTAAGGGCACTGACACACTTGGCTTAGGATGGTAACTAGGATGGTCATATAATTGAAGGGGCAGGATATATTTAACCTAGAAACCTTTTTTGTGTGTACATAATGACCGTACACAAATTCTAACAAACTTTCATACGAGGACTGGGTTAGATGACTTTCTTTTGTGTAGCTTTGGAGGGAAAAACTCGAACAATGGGGGGAAAGAACAGGAAGCTGGATTTGGGTTTCCTGTGCTATGGGAGTCATCACAGTGGGGGATGACAATTGTAACAGAAATGCTGAGTGTAGTGAAAGAAAGGTCAAGGATGAAGTTATGTGTATATTTGTCAACTAAATATATCACATGCAAATGGTTTTCTCTGCACATCTATATCAATAAATGACAACTCTTAATGTGGTTCTGTAAATATTCAAAATATTTATGAGCTACTATATGCCAGGTAGTGTTCTAGATGTTGGCGATAACAGCTGTGAATCTACTAGATGAATCTCCCTAAAGTTCTGATTGCAGCACATTCCTGCTCAACAACAGTCAAACGTTTATATTAACCACCAAATGAAGTTTACTCTTCTGGCGTAATAGTCAAGACCCTCTTCCACCTATTCCAGCCTGTCTTTCCAGGCTATTCTCTTAAACTCTATTAAACTCCCCATCTACCTTCTACATTTCTCTCTGCTTGACATACACTTCTATTCCTCCACTTTTTCTTGTCTGCCAAAGACTTACTTATCCTTCAGGCTTCTGTTCAAATGCCAATCCACTCTCAAAGTGAAAACCATATCTTCTTCTGAAGACCACTAGTATTGTTCATCCAGCAATTCCTTAAGTATTTATTAAAACCTGTTGTCTTTGCAAGCCACAAGATGCGTAAGGTACTTTCTCTATTTACATCCTTTACCATGTACTTTAATTTAAAACAGTCTTGATCTGTCACTCAAGGCAAGAGTGCAGTGGTGTGATCTTGGCTCACTCCACTTCCCAGGTTCAAGTGATTCTCGTGTGTCAGCCTCCCAAGTAGTTGGGACTACAGGCACACACCACCATGCCCAGCTAATTTTTGTATTTTTAGTAGACATGGGGTTTCACCATGTTGACCAGGCTAGTCTTGAACTCCTGGCCTCAAGTGATCTGTTGGCTTCAGCCTCCAAAAGTGCTGGGATTACAGGAATGAGCCACCATACCTGGCCACCATGTACTTTAGAATAATGTGCATACTTTATTTCTCCTACTAAAGTATAAGCTTAAGGACAGAGTCAGTCAGTGTCTAGGTGCACATTTCTGAACACCTGCTATGTGCAAAGAAATGGGCTAAGTATTGGAGACAAAATGGAGACTGAGTCCTTTCAGGACATGCTGAAGGCAGGCAGATCCCTATCACCCACCTCGCCCCCAGACCTTGCCATCCCATCATGTGCAAAGTACAAAGTGGTATAGAGGTAGAACAGGAAGAGTAGGGTAATTCTGCAATAGGTCATCAGTAAACTTCATTGACTCAGCTTGTAACCAAGAGTTTGTATAGGGGTCTGTGAATGGAGGTGACCATTATTTTCACCTCCCCTCAACAGACCCACACTGAGAGATTTCTGCCAATGTAGTGGGACTGGGTCAGGCAGAGGGATTGGATGAATAGGAAAGGAGTGAGCATGAACTCAATCCAGCCTGACAGAATGAGTAAAGGAGATTCAGAATCTCTGTGGAAGATGCTGAGTGGGGTGGGACAGGAATTCAAGAAAGTAGAGTGGGTGGAGGTATTGGAAGAGGAACCGCAAATAAGTGTTGTGCTAAATCAAGGAATCCCTCCTTTCCACAAGCTTTTGAAGACCTACTAAGTCTACAGCTGTCTCGGTAATAGAAATATACAGATGAATAAAATATGTTCCTTTACAGTATGGAATCTATTCCATACCCAAGGGTGTAGGCTTCCCTCAGTGAGAAGAGGAGGAGCCACGGTGTATCAGGATTTGTAAAGACTAGGAATTTAGAGGTGAATAAGTGAAGCCATTTCTAAAGTGGATGACATTTCTCAGAGGCTATAGGTGGATTAGTAGGGGCTGAAGGCACCCTAGAGCACCAGTATCCAAAAGGAGGCAGCTGCAGCAGAAGCCAGTAAAGCCTTGGGGAGGAAGAGGAGCAGGACATGGTCAGATTTTATTCCTATGTCAGGAAATGGTGGACAGTGTCCAATGCTGAAGTAAGTCAAATAGCATCAAGACAGTTGGGTTTGGCTAGAGGGCACTGTCAGTGGTTTATGAAGTGAGACAGAAAGGAAGGGAAGTAAAAGTTATAGGCATGCAGAGCAGGCACATAGTACATGGCTTACATTACTGTTGGGGGCAACTGAAAGGCAAGTAAGTAGGGCAAAAGTATAGATCACTATTTCAAATCCCTGCCTGAAATGTGAGCGCAATGGATATTCATCATGCCAAATATCAGATGTTGAAGGCTTACTGTGTTGCTAGTGGTAAAAGCACCGAGAAAATTGTTTCAATTTAATTCATCTTGTTCCTATATTGCTAAATACAATGGTTTATATTCTTCAAACATTCTAATTTCAGTTACAATAAAAATATTGGCTTCAAGAGCAGGGCAGCTTCCAGTTCTTCCCCAAATAACTCCACAGATGTCAACTGACACAGTTTTCAAATAGAGGAAAGAACCAAGTACAGAAAAGTGAAATCTAACAATTTAGAATAATGAGAACTGGAAAGACTGGGCTAAGTCCTGAAATGTACATTTTATATATATGTTTAAGGAATAAGGGTTTGTATTTATTTCAAGTTGCAAACATATTGTAACACCATGTCAAAATGGTTTTCAGGAAACAAGAAAATAAGTGAAAATATAAATTGAATCAATAACAGACATATTAATCTTAATGGCTTGACACAGAGGATTTCATGTCTTTTAAGTTAAACAGTAACCTTAACAGAAAACGACTGGAGTTTGTGCTACTTACAGTCTGAGGTCAACTTCAAGGACACAAACATTGATTCCATCGGAGAGAATGCTACTTATTTTTACATTTGTACAGGTAAACTAATTGTGAAGAACTACAATAAACTAGATAAAATTGGAATAGCACAAAAGTAGAATATTTGTTGAGAGGATATTTGAAGATCAACTTCCTTTAAAATACAAATTCCTAGTCCTTAATGACAATTTTTTGTTATGTTATATAAAAATTATGTTCAAAATTCACATCTAGGCTCAGTGGTTCACAAAATAGACAGAAAATGAGCTTAAAAATCACAAAGCAGAACTTTTTTTTTTT